TACATACATACATACATACACACACACATATATATATATATATATATATATATGTGTGTGTGGGGGGGTGTTGTGTGTGTGTATGTATGTGCTTGTAAATATAAACATGTAAAATACATATTTAAAGTAGCTCTGTAATTATATATCGAGCACTGTTTTATTATCACCAACACTCATTCTTCAATATATATATATATATATATATATATATATATATATATATATATATATATATATATGTGTGTGTGTGTGTGTGTGTGTGTGTGTCTGTGTGTATGTGTAAAGGGAAAGGTAAATTTAGATAGAAATAAAATACATATATAAAGATAAAATATGGATAAAAACAAAGAGATCTTATTCTAAACATTTACACACTTTTATGTAACAAGAATTAAATTGCATGAATAAACATCCTCCATACGATAGTCGTTCAGCAAGTGATATTGGAGAGACAATGTAATTTACAAAACAGTCAACTTTGACATCTATGCAATTGGCCAAACTATGCATCAGCATTGCAATCCCATCACGGAAGATGGTGACGTCCTGGTCTTTCCAAAACTCCTCTACAAACATATATGATCTCATTAATGTTTCCGACATTGCGACCAGGCAGGGGCCATTCGTGTTTTGGAAACAGGGAAAAAAAATCACATCTATAAGAGTCTGGTCAGTAAGCGGACGTTGTAGAAATTCAAAGCAACTGTTACCTGTTTAAGCTACTGCAGACTGAACAATGCGAACCCATGTATAAGCCAGGCGCAAGATCACACCTGCCCTCATCTAGATTGCATCCTTCCATGTTTCTAAATTCTGTCAATTATAGTACTGTCAATTAATAGCTACTGCCTTTTCCATTTAGTATATTTTGAATAAACCTTATGAATCCTAAAAGAACAGATGCTATCAACTAGCTAACTGACACTGCCAGCTTTGCATTTTTCTGGGACGGACAACAATATTCTCCCCTGTTTTTTTAATATTTTATTCAGTTTTGATATTGGGGACCCAGGTTTCAGCTTCAGTTACTAATCTGGAGTGGAATTTCTCAGAGTCAACCTGGAAGTTATTACGAATTCATTTTGAAATTTTAACCCTTTTCAGCTTTTGCTCTGGTGTCAACATTTAGGGACCCATCTTTTAGATCGCTTGCTAATCTTCAAGGTTTCCATTAAAAAATATGGATCGAACCAGGAAAAGAAACCATGGTTTTAGCTATCTGCTGGAGTGTAAGGCGCCTATCGTCCGAAATCATACGATGAACGTGATGAACTAGTTCATCACTGGTTGAGGTTTTTGGACGACTTCACCGAGGATCGTCTTCTGTCATGGACTTGTTCCTCTTGAATTCCGCAAACAAATTATTCATATTTTCAATAGAAATGGTGTCCTCAGCATATATATCAACTTTATTGTAATGGATTTCCTTGTGTGTTATACATTTTTTCTGCAGATGTCTTTAATTGCTCAAGCCTTTCTTCTATCTATTTGTAGAATTGCCGCAGAATTCTCACATATGTATGGGCCTCGCCTGCCCAGAAATTAAGACAGAAATATGAACGAGATTAATTATCTTTGTAAGAAATGTTAGTGCGTTGCCAAAACAAGAATGGTTAACTATATCTATGAGGTTTAGAATTTGTTAAATGACGCTCGTAGTTTACCTTTAATTTAACAGTTAATTTTAAGAATATATTCGAGCGTTCACAACTTTACATGTTTTGAAAACATAGCAATATTTTTACTTCCGTTCATATATATATATATATATATATATACATATTTGTCGTTTATAAATGTAGATGCATTTATTTATATATGTATTTTACAAAATAAAATCCTTGCATTTACCCCGATAAAGTCCATAAGATAACAACATTTGTTGGTAAAATAAATATATTTATCTATCTATCACTTTCTCCGCTAGACATATATATATTATAAATTAAGTGATTTAAAAGTATGGTTTAATCATTAAACCATATTTTTAAATCACTTAATTTATAATATTTTCTAATAAATTTACATTGAACAATGTTTTGTAAAATAAAAAATATCAATAAGAACACAGGATTACATATCTTACTGTTTTCATTTCTTTTTTTGATATATATATATATATATATATATATATATATATATATATATATATATATATATATATATATATATTCAAATGTGTACGTTTAATATTAGTATGTACGTTTGGTACTATACTATCCATTTTATCAGCTCGTGTAAATTATGTTTGCTCATACTAGTATTGTTTTTAACTTTTAATTAGATTCTTATATCCCGAAATGGCAAACATCAGAACATTCAATAGGCAGAGGTTAAATGTAGCGGAACGTTTGTAGCAACGGTATTCACTAATATTTGTGTTTGTAAGCGAGCTTCATTACAAACAGAACCGTTTCTTACGTCATGGTCTGCCAAGTGGTATGAACGCTGACATGTGAAGGGCCTGTGGACCGCATTTAAATGTTGTATTTCAACAATACCAGCCGAGAAAACTTGATTTCACCGTACTAATCACTGGAGACAGGATTCTTGTGTCAGCAAATTTATTTTGTTTAGTAGTAAATAGAAAATCGCCGGGGAGGCTCTCCCTGTGTCATCAATGCTATTTATGGATGACGGCGAACGATCTCTAAGTTAAAGTCTCGTCTCCCTCCACGTGATCGCTTATGTTGACACAACCCGTGGCCTTTCCGCCGGGGATAGGCACAGGGCGAATTGCCAAAAATTCAGAGTTAATTACGATCGCCTTGGGATAATCTTGTGTTCTCAAAACAAAAATGGCGGCCAGCGGTATCGGCTAATAATAACACACTGCTAATAACACTTTTCTCTTTCTACCGACACATATCTAAAACTACGAACCTTGTGCTATCAGTCGTTACAAAGAGAGAAGTGGCGCTCAGAGTTTATTTTTCACATGACTTGTCGCTAAGATAGCAAATTTCCTGTAAAGATAAATTTTCATAAACCAGCGATTGGACTTCCTGTTTTTACTCCTCATGTGATAAGAAACGCTAAGTTTGGACAAGTCTTATAAAGTAATTCATGTTTTTCTGGTCATCACGTTTAAATTTTATATTTCCTCTTTTTCTCGCTAGTCTTCTATTCCTGAGAGAACTTACTCTGAATTGTAAACATAATATCTTGTTAAATATATTCAAAAATTTAAGGTGTCGAGTGAATTAAAGATTGTGTTTATAATTTTATAGATATAATCTTCTACATGCCGTGATCCACGGGACGTGGACAGTCTTACCTCTCCACAACCTCCTTTTTTGTTGTTGCCATCATTAACATATGTACGTCTCCCAAGCCTCCCGATCTCCGTTTCGCGATCCATTTAATCTAGCTCATCAGTTGGGTTACAAGCTGCTATCCCTTGTCTTTCCTGACCTAACTATGCCTTGTGAGTTTCAATTTCATCAAGCCCCCTTTATTTTTTATATCTCCATGACATTTCAGCTGTTTCTTTATGTTTCTGAGTATAAGTAATACGTTTGTTTCTATTTCTACTTTAGTATCTGTCTATATTTCTGAGATGAGGTATTATGTACATTATTTACATTATTCGGACTATTCTCCTCATCTCTGTCGCAATATATATTACAACGTTTCGGCTATTGTACGTTCCGGCCTTTTTCAGATGGTTGGAATATCGAACTGAACCCTTTATTTCGTTCAATGTGGTAGACTGTTCTAGTTCGACGTGCCATGTCTGATGGATGTCTGTTATCAGCTATCTCCTATTAATTACCCTCTCGAAGTTCACCACATTGCGCAGTGGATAAAGGCGTTAGTTACATCAAATGACAGGACACAAAGAGCGTGAGTTCTATAACTGCTTAAGGCGGTGGAGAATTTGGAGAGGGGTATTGACGGGAGATAACTGATAATTGCCATCCATTAGACGTGACACGTGGAACTAGAACAGTCTACACCAGTGAGCGAAATAAAGAGTTCAGTTCGACATTCCAAACGCCTGAAGAAGACGGGAGCGTACAACGGCCGCAATATTGTAAGAAATATGGCGACAGAGATGAGGAGAATAATCCGAATAAATTAAATTTCTGCTTTGCTTACGCATTCCCTCCATTCATTTTAAACATTTTCACTTTGTTACCATATCTACTGTTATGATGATTAACAAAGAAATGAAAATAACTAAAATCATTTCTTGAAATATAGTATGTTAATTTGAAGTTTCTCTGAGTTGTGTTTAATAATGCTCCAAAATTATAATTCTACAAAATTATGCCAAGCCCGAGAAATTGCTTAATTTAAACAAAATAATTTTGGTAATGTGGAAGATAATGAATGAAAATTAGTCTATTTTAATATTTTAAAATACACAATTTCAAACATTAAATAACTTCATTATTTGTCTGTATTCAATAAATGAGGATAACTGACAGTTGCTAAGATGAAGCAGTGAGAGAAGACCACTAATCAATGATTGTCATGGAAATGATGATTTATTGAAAATAATGTATTTGTAAAAAAGTCTTTAAAATAAATTTATTTCCTTCTTTCGTAAGGAACTACTAAAATTAAAAGTGTGAAAATTTTAAACAAAACTCTCAAAACAATTTGAAAATGTAATAATTTATTTTGAAAAGCGTCTGAAAAATTAAAATATATTTCATTTGAAGGTTTTGTTCTATATTATAATAAAATTTGAAAATTAGAAAGAATATGCTAGCGCAATGAATGCACCTAAAACTGCCACACTTTCCTTTTGCGCAAAATCTGGCTAGAATTATCAAATTGAAAACAAAAAATCATATGAAAAAAAATCAACATAAATTTTGTAAATTTCAAACTGTTCTGTTGATAAACATTCGAATGTTCCAAAAGTATTTATGTTTAAGATTAATTATGCATTCAGTTTGAATATTAAATAATTACCGAGAAAGTTTCCCACCAATCTCCCATTTAAGAACAGACTTGTTTGTTTTTATATATTAATAATGTTTTGAAAGATATCTATCTATCTATCTATCTATCTATCTATCTATCTATCTATCTATCTGGTCATGTAATATCGACAGCAAGTGTTTTTTTTCTCGTTCCGAATAAAAAGTTTTAAGGTATCTATAGATATATATACATATATACATATATACACGAAAGTGTATTAATGTGTGTTTGTATTTATACGTCTTGTGACTTGTTTCATCGAAGATTCAGGTGTGTAAACGTCAGAAAAACAAAAAGCCGTTTGTAAGATGTCTCAGTTTGATCGGTATAATAGGCCAACTTTTTTTTTTTTGCAAATTGTCTTATATTTACAATCCATATATATATATATATATATATATATATATATATATATATATATATATATATATTATCTTTCTTGGGTTTACCCATACGGATTACCTAGTTTTTCAGAATATATATATATTTATATATATATATAGACACACACATATATATATACACATACACACATATATATATATATATATATATATATATATATATATATATATATATATACATACATATATTTACTTTTTTAATTTCGATATATTTGGCCATAAGATCATCGTAAAGTAATATGCAATTTCCTATTATTAAATAAGAACGAAATTTTTTTTAAACAAGGATGCCTTTAAAGGTAACATATTAGAAAAAAAAACTTGAAATAACAAAGGTGGCAACTACAATGCCAATGAATCCATTGCTCACTTTGGAATGGTATAATAACTTAATAAGATGTCTTTAAAATTAAAATGTCATTCATTTACAATTTACAGTATTTACCAAATAATATATATATATATATATATATATATATATATATATATATATATATGTGTGTGTGTGTGTGTGTGTGTGTGTGTGTGCGCGTGTGTGTGTGTGTGTGGCACCATGCATCCTGACGATTTGAAAGAAATATTCATAGATATATGATTTGTTTTTACGGATTATCAACCATTTAATAATTATTTAAGGCCGAAAAATATTTTAGGTTTTAAGAATAATTCTTTCTTTACATTCAAGCGATTTGGGAGAAAGAAAAGAAAACGAAGAAAAAAAAGAAAAAAAAATAATACGAAAACGGGTCATAAGCGAACACACACACAAACGGCTAGAATTGATAGGTAGCAGATGTCGAAAATATCTAGGTCACCTACAAACAAGCATTTGACCGATTTCCGCGTGTCCACGAAAAATGGAATTTTGTTATCAATTGGATGTCACCCAAGGAAAAGAAAGACCATTGTTGAACATTGACGAAACATAGACAGTCTTCAGAATTAGAAAAATCCCACCCAAGAAGTTTTCACTGGGAAAATTTTTCTTTTTTTTGACAGAATAAACGCTTGCCCTGCGATAATAAAGATTTTCGTTATCAACACATGAGCCGAAAGGAAAATTAAATATTTTTATTTCGCTTCAGAAACGCCAGCTAGCCTAGGAAATTCCTTTCTTGGATCGTGTCCACTTAGCGATAAACTGCTTGACAAATAACACGTGTTAAAAAGCCGAGTCAGTCATCACAGTCGCTCATGATAAGGGCGATTTAATTAATATTTTTTTTGTTAAGCAAGATATTTCTTTCCCTTAACAAAACCGCGGATTGTTCACGCCCGACTAAGACGTCATTGGCCAAGTAGATCACATGACACACGAAGGAGACGGAAAGATACCCGACTAAGACGTCATTGGCCAAGTAGATCACATGACGCACGAAGGAGGAGGAAAGATACCCGACCAGGACCTCATTGGCCGAGAGCGGTCACGTGACGCACGAAGAAAATCGGTCGACGCCTCTATCAGAAGTGTAAGTGTGAGGAGCAGATACGAAGAAGTGGGGAAGTTAGTGCACGCCCCTCAGAAGCACAGTAAGAGAGTGGGAGTGAGAGGAAAGTTACCGAAAATGGAAAAGAGTAAAAAAAAATCCCTACCCAGAAATAAGAATGGTGGAGACGTATTTAGAATTATCGAAGAACCCCTGGTGCCGACAGACCCACCCCAGTTTTTGACGGCGTCAATAAAAGCGAGAACCCAACCGACAGAAATCAGTTCGTTCGCCCCAAGCGGGCAGAAGAGGCCAGTTCGTTTGGCCTGAGTGCCGAGAGTTCGTTCGCCCCGAGCGGGCGAGAAGAAGTTCGTTCGACTCAAGCTGGAGAGAAGAAGTTTGAGTGCAGCCGCGGACGGCAAGCGGAGTGCAGCCGCGGACGGCGGGCCGAGTTCGTTTGCCCCCTAGCGGGTAGAAGGGGCCAGTTCGTTTGGCCTGAGTGAAGAAGTTCGTTCGACCCAAGCTGGCGAGAAGTTAGTTCGCGCACCGGCGGCAGAGATGAGTGCCCAGTACTCAGACTCTGGAGAGTTTGAGTTCAGCCGCGGACCCTGGCGAGAAGTTTTGAGCCTTGGACGACAAGCAGAGATCAGCGCCCAGTGTTGAAACCGCGTCAAGATAGCTGACCAAGATTCACGCACACTTTTGGACTCTTCTTCAACCAAGAACAAGTAGTTTGAAGAGCGACTTAGAATCAGACCACAGAAATAAGTTTTTTCGACTTTCGTCCAAAGACACACCGAAACACAAATTTCTTAGAGAGCAGACAGCTTGAAGCCTTAAAGTTTGCCTAGCGAAAGCGTCGTGCCACAATCCACAGAACGGGTCGGGAAGTAGACATAGTCCTATGTACCGAACAAATAGACATAAAAGTTTGTTACCTTTTTCTTTGATACTTTGGACTTTGTGAGTTTTCATTTTATTTTCTTTTATCCATAATTGTGTGTTATCACCCCCGTTGAACTCAGCTTGCATTACGGCCCCAACCCCTGTTTGATCTCGTCTGTCTAAGATCAATTCACAACGTGGGTAGACAGACTAGAGATCAGTGCAGTTACCCTGGTAACCAGGCGTTGGAAGCAGGTTGGGAACGGCGAGGCTGGTATCAATCTAACCAGATTCCTACCCGAATCACCAAAGGGTTAGAACGTCACGTTTGGAGCAGCGAGGAGCGAACAGCTGACGCCGCGGCGAAGACGTCACAATTGGTGCTGTTTGGGGACGTCACATCTGACGCCGTGACCGGGACATCAGAGCCTGGGGCAGCCACGTGACGTCACATCTGGCGCCATGGTGGATCAGGAGAGAACGACACAGTCGGCGCTGCGACCGGGGGACGACGTCACATATATATCAAACACATTTGTAAGAAATTTAATCACTTTCATTATAGGTTTTTCTAATGATTTATGTAAGGACATGAATACATTATCCTTTATAGTTACATAGATTTAAATTAAAATCAGTTGGATATATAAGTTATATTTAAGTTGAAGTATATATTTCTGAAAAAGAAATAAAACAAAATATCAGAAAATAAACACAAAATTACGAATTGAACACAAAATTGCGAAAAAAATTAATTAATATTATAAAGAAAATAAATAATTACATAAAATTCATGAAAATTGAAAGAAATGGCGTTAAAATCCAATATGAAAAAAGATTAACGCTGAAATATTTACATTAAATCAGTTATACATTTTACGCTTCTACGAAGCCTCGTAAAAACAGGCCTAGCCTTCTCCAAATTCAAACGATTATTATTATTATTATTATTATTGTTGTTGTTGTTGTTGTTGTTGTTAAAACTTCTGGTCATGTAAGTAAATGGTGAGATTCCCGCAATCGAGTTATCAAGGAGATTCCATCCCATTAGATCCGAATGTGTTTGCACAAGTTTTCAAATCCATATTTTACAGCTCTATCCCAATGTATAAATGATAGCGTGACTAATAGACATAGTTATGCCTAGATTGAATGCGTTTAGAATTTCGACTGGAATTAGAACATGCCTTGCTGATTTCTGTTTCCGATTCGCTCGCCATTAATCCATTCACACATCAGCGAATATTATTACTTAGCCTTAATTAGGATTTCCCAGATAATAGATAATATTCCTAGATAATGTGATGATTGATAATTATTACTAAATAATTAAAAATAAATTAATATCATTAATTCAATTAATTATTGCGGCAAATATTAACTCAATTTATAGCATCCGGGGTTTGCAGATTCGTCAAGCAGAAAAAAAAGTTCGGTTTTTCGTGACATCACATCTCATTAGTAAGCAGTGGTATTTCATGATGGTATTTCGTAATTTTAATGATCAGTTTAACCGTTTCCTACAAGAAAAATATGGCATTCTTTGAATGAAAAGTTAAAGCTACCCACGTTTGAAATTTATAGGCATAAATCTTAGTATCAACTTTTTCAATAAAATAAACTAATAGTTCATTGTTATGGCTTTTTATTTTTCTGGGTGTAACAGGAAAATTATCCAAATAGTGTCAAAACAAAATTGTCAAATTATTAGGTTAAGCCTTGTACCGTTGTATCTTAGAAATGATTAAAGATATCTTAAAGTAATTATCCGACGTCTTTATAACAGTATTGGTCTCTATTTTCAACAATAACAATCTATTTAGCTCCAGGTGAAAATGATTAACTCTCTTGTGTTGGTGACTTCCTGATTCAGTTTTCCTACCTACTGTCCCCTTCTTTTTTAATTTTTATTCACCGTTCTCTTGATGATTTTTCAATGGATTTTGAAGATGGAAACCAGTGTATTAATTGTGATAGAATTAGTGAAGCCCTGATTAACCCTCTCCCTCTCACCATTGCCCAGTTGGGAAGTCATAGTGGGGTTGACACAAAAGGATTTTAACTGTCCTCTTTCTAGCTGAATAAATCAAAGGATTTTTCAGGGATTCTTGCGACAAACGGTGTCTTATCGGAAATCTTGGAGAAAATAAACACAATGAGATTAGTGTTTTTTTATGTATTAAACATTTTGTGGGATGGTCAATTATCTCGTGCTGTTACACGCTTTGGACAATTTTGCTGTTAAACTTGGTATTTATGTGAAATTCATTCTTAAATATTCACGATGTTTTTTTAATTAGTATCATTCCAAGCAAGATAGTAAAAATCATCAGAACAATTACCATGAATTAAAAAAAAAGTACAGGAAGCAACATTATGGGATTGGCTAACTGATTGAAGCC